GGCGAGTTGTGTGTCTTGCATTTGATTTGAGAGAACTTGGACAGCGTCGGAAAGATGGTCGGCGAGGAGAAAGAACGCAGCAGCATATTCTACATGGATCCGTCCGTAACTTTTTCAGCGTAACTCTTGGCATGCACTACCGCGGACGGTATGTGTCAGCGGGCCACACTTTTTTTTTGCCGAGGGCACACACCTTAAAAGCATACTCATATACATCAAACCTACTCCCCCCTCTTTAAATATCCCTCTCTTCGTACGTAATACGTGCCTATCTATATATATTTTCTCTCTTTATATAATGGCGTAACAGATAGCCCATCTCCAGATGGAGATTATCTCAAAATATACCTCTGGTTATACCTAGAATGATCTCCTAGCCTGGATTAAGCGTGTACATGGTATTACAGTATCCCATCGTACGCTCAAGCGCTGTTTCTCTACATGGAAGATTTAAAAGGACTCTTCTTTACTTCCCTCTTCCGTACGAGAGAGCCTATAGGATAGAATCCGTACTCTTACCCTTGAACTAGCTCTTCCAGATACTGAGATTATTCGGATCCTTCAAGAAGAAGGGTTTAAGATCTCACGGAGTTCTCTATATCGCCGTCGTATAGATATGGGTATCGTACGAAAGGTACGAGGTATTGATGCATAACAGGCTGAAAGTAAGAAGGCAATGCAGCTCGTACGGGAAGGCTTAGAGTTAGGAGTAATTAATGGGTTTAGTCGAGGCCTACTCCATGCACATTTCCTAGGAGCTGGAGTCCAGACTGTACGGTATCTATACCCTTCTATCTATCTATATATAAAGACTTATTCTAAGAATCTATCTAGAGATCGGCTATTTCAGGCTATGAAGATCTTAAATCCAGAGGGCGTACGACGCCGCTATCATGATTTTCAGCGCCATAGAGGCCAGCATATTATGAAAGGTCCTGATTATATCTAGAGTATGGATGGGTACCACAAGCTTAGCTTATACGGTATTGAGATCTATGCCTATATGGATGCATACTCAAGATATATTATCTGGGCCTATGTTAGTATCTCATCTGCTACAGCAGTTAGTTGTCTCTTTCAGTTTCTAGAAACTTTAAGAATTAGAGGTATCCAGCCACGCTTCGTACGAAGTGATAGAGGTGGTGAGACAACTTGTATGGCAAATATTCAGTGGAATCTCCGCCAGGTTGATGACCCAGAGATTCCACTAAATCAATGCTGGATGTTTAGGACAAGTACATCTAATCAAAGGATTGAGGCTTGGTGGGCACAGCTTTCTAAGGCACTCTTATTCCGATGGAGGGTATGTATCGTACGGTAGTATATTATACTTAGCTAATAGATATTTAGAACTTCTTCTCAGAGCTTAAGCAGAGAGGTATCTTTAATACACAGAGTTATACAGATCGGATTACTATTCAGGCAATCTATATTCCAATTCTCCGTACGGAAGTTTCAAGCTTCGTACAGACATGGAATCAGCATCCTATCCGAAGACAGAGAGATCGACCATCTGCTGTCTCTGGACCACCCGTACGAAATTACTTTATGCCAGCTAAAGGTATTAAACGTGGAGCAGTACCTATTAATCAAGAGGCTCTTGCTACTATCCGAGGCCAGGCAGGAGCTTAGGATATGGATGCATATCTACCACCTAATACACTACTATGGTGTACGAACCAGCTCGAAGATCTTAGCTTTAATAGAGGTACACCGCTTCGTACGGCTGAAGAACAGAGAAGTCCATTTATGGATATCTATGTTCAGCTACGCCGTAGGATTCAGGACCATGTCTATACTAGAATAGCCCCTCGGCTAGAAGTCCTAGCACATCCACATCTAGATCCTAATTTGTTTGTAAGTATCATTCTTCCGTACGAGAATAAAGAGCGGTATACTAATAGACTATACAGGGAACCGCTCTTAAGAATGTTGAGGCGTCTAATCTTAATAATAATTAATTGGGTAGATTGAGTATAATCTAGGAAGTAGCGTCGTACGAGAGTACTTTGGTTTTTCTATAACTTACAGCCCCTCTCTTTTATAATATTCTTCTTATATGAAAACCTTTTAACTTGCATCTCGAATAGCCATGCCAGTATTAAATGCTTTCCATAACTACTGCTCCAAAACTGGGAGGCACCACTCTTCGTACGAAGTGGCTACCTGTCCAGATTGCCAGCAAACACTCTTTACTAATATAGAGATTGTTAATCTTACTTCATCCCCAATTGGATCTCCCTCACCTCATCCAATACCACACACACCAAATACTCTACGCCAATCCCTCACTCTTCGTACGAGTGTACCTCCTCCAAGCCAGCCACGATATAGTTGAATTAGTAGAGAGATTTAAAGGAGCTAAAGTTATAGAGTAATGTTACTACTAACGTATTCTAACGTATTTCCTAATCAAGTAATATAAAAGTAGTATGAATATATATATATATCCTAAAATATAGTCTATATAACTCCACTCTATAGTCGTAGAAGTGTATTAGTAGTATCCCTATCTACCTATCTATCTATCTTCTTTAACTCTCTCTTATATTTAGATAGCCACGCGCGACACTTCTAGATGTATGGTATAGAGATACTATTTATAAGCGCATCCTTATATAATAGGTGCCTACGCGTCCTTATCGCCTTAACTTTACTATACTTATATAAGTTCTTCGATAACCATGCCTTAAAGTTCTCTAGCGCCTTGATCTTCTTATCTACTCTCTCTATATCTATCCGCTAGTCCATTATCTACTTAATAACCTCTACCTAGTCCATATATAGCGCCGCAGGACTAGAAGCCGTAGCTACTAGAACTAGCTTAGGCGGCGTTACTTCTTAAGAAACTAGTAATATACTAGATAGAGGTAAAGAATATTAAGGCGGAGGGTATACCTAAATAGAATATAGTAAATAAGGCTAGATATACCTATATAGGATAACCTCTTATTTAAATATACCGTCGTGGTAATAACGCTTTACTTTACGATCGTCTATCTACTTCTTATCACGTATTCAATCCCGTCTCTCTTTACGTCTAGCTTAAGCCTTATTACGCTTAGCCTACTATTCTTTACGTTTTATGTCTTATAATTACTACTTAGTAATAAATAGCCGCATATCCTCTTATAACTTCGTCTATTTCTCTTTATTAAGCTAACGCTTATTAGGACGCTTCAACTATACGCCGATAGGCTTACGGTTACGGAATCGCTCCTTTAGAAAAGACGGTGGATTCTTAATAGAGATACTCTCCTCTACTTCTACGGTAAGTACGTTTACCTAGTAGTAGATATCTATAGTTATAACTTTATAGTACTAAGCACCTATACTAGAGCCTTTATCGGCCTATATCTAATAGTACCTATCCTTATAAGAATAGTTATTAACTCTATATGTCAGGACTCAGCCTTAGGCAGGACCCGACCTGCACGTACCTCAGCTGACAGGGTCAGGAGGTGACGTGAAGGGCGGTGAACAGTCACGTGCTAGACAGATCGGCGTCCCTTTGTGTATATACTCTCGGATTCCTACTGAAAGGGTTCGGTAGTAATTTGTTCTGTGATAGAATACACCCCATTGTTCCATCTGACTACACTACTATCCAATAACCCTATTCTTACACTATACTTAAGACGAGCAACTAGAGCGTGGTAATACTACGTAGTATTTACTACTACGTCTACTTATATAGTATTCACGGCGCTAATTAGGCCATTCCGTCTCCCTCCTAAACTAGGTGCCCTAGCTTATATATAGTATATAAAGGCGTGTAATAGCGGTATCTTAAGATTATTTGGAGGAGAGAGTAATTCGCTATATATACTAGTAAGCGTAGGCGTCCCACGTATATTTACTAATAACGTTACGCCACGAGGGCCGGTTTTAGAAGCTTATACTCTTCGTTTCTTCATAGCTTTATATCTAGGGTATAGTACTCTAACTTCGAACTTTAGATTAATATTGTGCTTTGGTTTCCTTATATAAATATAATTAATATAGGATAGAATCTCGACCTTATCTATAAGGGCGAAGGAGACTTCTATTAAGTATATATACTTATTCAAGGTAGACTAAGATTATATAACTAGGGACGTTTTTCCGTCGAACTCCTACGACTCATTAATAACTATCTCTTATATAGCCTTATTTATCCTATCCTTAATTTTATCTAGCGCCTAGAACTCGCGTAGAGATAAAGATAGGTTCTTTTATTTCTCCTTCTTTCTATTAATATAAAGTACTAATATTAGATATAGTATAAAGAGGGCTATAGCTATAGGAGGACTTAATAGAGGAGGCTTATTTTCTATATTATACTTATTACTACGTAATGGTGATGGTAACGAACGTATATCTATAGCCTTATTTAACGCCTATAGCATAGAGATAAGTATCTCTACCGCATTCGCGTTACGATTAGATATGACAGCCGCCTATTTAATAATAGTAGCTAGGGTACTATTTGCCGTCTTACTCTTAGACTTCCTATTTCGGACTACCTAACTACGGCTTACTATCGCCCTTACTATTAGTTAATATATACGACGCGTTTAAGGAGGAGGAGCCTCTATCGAGCAGTTAGGCATCTCAAGCGGCCTACTAAAACGAGCCCTCTTACCACTATAACGCGCTATAGGCATGGTTTAGGGGTATTTCAAGTATTATACAATATGGAGATGAGGCTAATGAGTGCCTATATACGTGGATTCGACGTATTTCACGACGTTGCGGCTGCTATGCACGATAATGTTCAAAATGCTCGTTTACTATGGAAAAACGTTGTGTCGCGCATAGGCGTGCATGCCAAGAGTTGCGCTGAAAAAGTTACGGACGGGATTGACGGTAATAAGCGACTTCGCACACACTTTACCCCAAGTACTAACGCAATGAACCCATTTGCAGCATCAGGCAGGCCGGAGGATCAAGTTCCAGAATGATCGATTCGCTACTTGATTCGACATCACCCATTTCTCACTGGTCATCACGAACTCTCCTGCGTCGGTATAACGTGAATACCTCACTTTTCATTCGCTACACTGTCTTTTAGTCTCATTCACCATTTCACAAAGTTCCTGCCTTTCACCTCATTTCGGACAATTGTTGCACGGCCCAAGCACGCAGGGAGGATATTTGCCAGAGCCTTCAGAGCTTGGAGCTCGAAATAGTTTAGATCGGCAGACGTGAGCTTGTTGTGCAATTGATTTTCCGGAACAACGACCAACCCAGGTTTATATTGATGCGAGAAGCCACAGGCCGTGAGTGAGTGTCGAACAATTTCCGCCGTGCGGCTTGGGGTATGCTTTGGCTATTGCCTGGCGAACTCCCCTGGCTCAGAAATCATAGTCAAAAGTGCTGTTCTCAAAGCGGAAGTGGTTGAAGACTCGATTGAAGGCTGTGAAATCCCACAGCATTTTGTAGATTTTCCGAATTCCTCGATACACCGAGCAGGATAGATCTAAGTACACCTGATCATACAGTTGTGATTTGACGTCGTGGAGGCGTTCTACATTGAGGTAGAATGATTGCGTAGGGGCGCCCGCGAGCCGACCGATAGATGATCCAATAGAGCACGTTAAACAAAAGACAGGCCACACTAACATGATTCGAGGCTGATGAAAGAGATGTCACCGTTTCTTATAAGCTTGGAGACCTCCGTAGTTGTAGCTCATGATCTTCACGATATACTGCATTTGGCAGCGTCAACTATACTATAACGAATAGTACACACAGTGAAAACGAAGTTGGGAAACATTCGAGATAGCATAACAGACTGGCTGCAAATGAGATAGACCGGAGTTCAGCCTGCTGAGTCGGAATGCTGAGTCGGGGTTGATGAAGAGCATTTAGGGGATCGATCCGATTTTCGCAAAACCCGTCTACCAAGCCGCCGCTAGTCATGACTCTACTGCTTTTCATATCCAATTCCGCTCGCAATACTGCTGGATTCTTTGTCTTAAATTGGAGCTCTCTATACCATGTAATCGCAGCCATTCTTTGTTGAGTTTCTGTTGTTCAACCATACAGCGTCGCTGGGCATCATGCAGGATCTGTAGATACTTCATTGCTGTAGTAGGCTTCCTCTGAATTGGTTCCCGCATATCGTCTTGATGTTGTGTATCCAGTCTAAATGATTCAATTGCCTGGATAAGCGACGTCATCGAGTCGTGGTACTCTTCAGTATCATCCAAGCTGTCCCTGATTCTTAAGGTCCTGCCACAGTAAACGGGTCCTATATTGGTAGCCCATGGACGAAAAGCGTCACAGCGTCAGGCATTGAATGTGGCCTTTTAGGGTATATTTTTCGCATTGCAAGAGACGGCTAGTCGTACAACATGGTGACCTCGCAAACCTTTTTTAAGCAAACGGTTCCTTCAGTTCAAGTGATAGTCCCAAGCTGCGCGAGCTTTGAGATGTATCCAGGTAGTCTTTACTTAGCTAATTGCATATAACGGCCGGATCCCTATGCAAGCTAGCTAAGTGAGTCACGAGTGTCCGACTATAGAGATCGAGAAGTGGCTCACTTTTCGTGAGTAGGATCGACATTGTAGACAATAACTTGACTTCTCCAGTACGAGAGGCTAGACTGCATGTACTCTTACATCAGAGATACTTATCGTACTAAGGTAGAGGGATGAGTGACAGTGAACACTATCACCTTTGTCAAATTCCGGCGCACACAATTCAAATTGGTGGGAATATAGATAAGTAGCCTTCATTATCCGCACATTCCTCACTCAACTCATTACACGTAATTTCACCCACGTAGCTTGATCGATGGGGATAATTTCTTGTATGTGTTATGCGAATATATTGATATCTTCATACTGGCGATAGACCCAGCGGTGACTGAGGATGAATCGATTATAGTCTCCCTAGATGTCTTTTGTGACTCTGGTCATTTCTCGAATTTCTAAGGTGGCTGACTTTTGTCGACAGAATTCTTTGTCCTCCAGCGCCTGGTCCAAACGGCATTTGAGATCCTCTATGGTTGCCCGAGCAGCCTCTACTTCTTTGGAGGCAGCATCCAATTTTGATGCAAGTTCCTTCTCTCTCGCTTTCCGTCGTTGGCGAAAACGAGCCGAGGCGCCTGCGTTCCGTTTCCGTCTATCATCGGCCTGTTTCGAACCCGACTTAATCTCGACTGGGATTTGATATGCTCGACCATATTTATCTAATCTAGTATAGTGCTCATAGTCACCGCCAAAGGCAAGACCGCTATCAGTCCTATCTTGCAACTGGATGTTAGATGAAGTGCGACTTTTCGTGCGATGATTAGCATCTGGAAACGGAAGGAGGCCGACAGCAGCACCCGCCGACGCGATTGGTGCTTGAAGATGCCCTGGATATGAGGTAACGACTGGATACGAGAGGTCGTCTTGAAAACTGTAGACTGAGTTGTCGTCAGTTTTTTGTGAAAATGACGATCCACTGGTCTGTGAGTCGAGCTCGGTGCGCCCTAGGCTTTCAGTTCTTTCATAATTTGCCTGGCCAGGAAGAGTTGCCGGTGGATTCGGAACCGGTCGATCTCTCTCGCATTGCGCGTTAGGAAGTTCACGATGTTTGAAACTCGCTAGGATCGTTGTTCGCTCAGATGAAATTGGATGATGGGCAGGTACCGGACTTGCT